GCCTAATGTTAGCCAGCATTATGCTAGCCTAATGTTAGCCAGCATTATGCTAGCCTAATGTTAGCCAGCATTATGCTAGCCTAATGTTAGCCAGCATTATGCTAGCTTATAACCAGCTGTTTGTTGTTGTTGGTTAGCCAGCTCATCAGCCATCTAGAGACAGAAGAGTTGCATGTCTGATACGCAGACAACCAGTAATTTTCAGCAACATTGGTAATAAATAAGCACGTTTTCATGTGTCAGAGCCCTGAGTTCAGCTCAGAGAGGAGGCTTGGAGCGAGCAGTGGAGGAGGAGAAAGACATAGTAAGAAAGAGATGATGGAAATATGTAGAATGGTCATAAGTAAGAAAAAATTAAAACTAACTTAACATCCATTTTTGTAAAGCTACATTTTGGTGTTTGAATTCTCAGGAATCTGGAAGTTTCTAACAGAATTAAAGAAAAACTACTTACAACAGCAACATTTCCCTGAAGGAGAGAAACTGCAGACAAACAAAAGCTCAACCTGATGCCAAGTGTTTGCCTCGAGCTGTCAGCTAAGAACCAGGCCTGTGAAGCTGAACAGGTCATACCACTGGATGTCACTGTTGCATTATGATCTTACAGTGTGGTTCTACTCAAAAGCTGAGCATTTATAACCACAGAACTACATGAGGGAGTTTGAGGAACTTCACCTGCAGTTTTACACCTAATTAGCCAAATTTAGTTCCTGGAAATCCAAACAGGATCCACACTATCCACCGCTGAAGGTCTGGACACCTTTAGCACTGCCAAAGTGGTAAACTGGTAGAATAAGCTGCTGCACTGCTGTAGCCAGTGGCGATCCCAACCAACCGAACATCAGTCGGTTGAGTTCTGTGCACCATCTCATCTAAAGACAGCAGGTGTTGTGTATACCTGTATTTTCGGGCAGGCCTTCATCTTCTCCTCCTGCGGGATGGTGTTGGTCACCACCACAGCCTCGAACGGGGCGCTGTTGATGCGAGATATGGCCGGACCTGAGAATATGCCGTGCGTGAGGATGGCGTAGACCTTCACAGCTCCAGCATCGATTAGCCTAAAAGTGGAACGATTACCAAAAACAGTCACTACATTTTTATACATTTATGTAAAACGAGCCAAAGACAAAACCATCTCAGTGACACTGACTTGTCGGCAGCGTGGCAGATGGTGCCGCAGGTGTCGGCCATGTCGTCCACCAGGATGGCCACGCGGTCCTTGACGTCACCGACCAGCACCATGCGGTCCACCTCGTTGGCCTTCTTCCTCTCTTTGTGGATGAGAGCGAAGTCCACATTCAGACGGTCCGCGATGGACGTCACGCTGAGCGAGGACAGGAAAGAGGAGGGATATGCACAGACTCAACCCTTAATTGCTTCTCAAACAAGTCGACTACAAAGCTGTGACTGACATCCCCGCAGTTTCTCTAGAGGATGACATCAAATAACTTCCAAAATGGCAAGCAGTTGGCAAACTAAGCAGATGATAATCACCGAGGTTCTGCTGATCTCTCCTAATGTCACTGTGAAAAGACTCAGAGTTAAAGCTTTAATCAGCACATCAGCCATCTGCAGCACCAGCAGACCCTGAAGTACGTTCACTTTCCCCTACATTAAACATTGAAATATATTTTCCCACATCATAGATCTACACTCAATACAAACGAATGGCCAAACAGATGGGGGGTGGGGGTCTGTGTGTTCTTGATATGATCAGGTGCACGGACACTTTCAGGACCTTCATGTGGTCGGAGTCACATCCCTCAGAGTTTTGTCTTAGCCACCACAGCACGATGCTACCTCCATCATGCACCAATCAGATGTTACTGGGCAGGTGATAAAATATAATGTGACACATGAGAGCCTTTTGTCAGTTTTTTATTGCCTCTTTTCCACCAGCATAGACCCAACAGACTCTATTTCAGCTGTTTTCCATTAGTACCACTTCAATGTGGGCGGAGTTGTTATAGCAACGTGGCCCGGATGTCCTGTGATGTCATTTTATGTGACACAAACACAACAATGGGGCACATCGAGGTGATGGTACACCTGCTGCTAAACAGATGGTAAACATCTGCACATTGTCATTGGACGCGGCGTTGGTTAAGTGTGGAATACTTTTCCTCGTCCAATCGGTGGCCTGCAGTCTGCTGACGTCACATTTTAAATGCTACCACCTAATAATGGGAAACCCTAAAAACAGA